TATAACTGTGGCCCTTTAAGTGTTATAACTGTGGCCCATTAAGTGTTATAACTGTGGCCCTTTAAGTGTTATAACTGTGGCCCTTTAAGTGTTATAACTGTGGCCCATTAAGTGTTATAACTGTGGCCCTTTAAGTGTTATAACTGTGGCCCTTTAAGTGTTACATCTCTTCTAACTATTAGCATAACATCGATCTCTTGCCTTGGTGTATCCTCTGCGCCCAATGGCATCTGCTCTCTCACCTAAGGATCTCTTTTCACACATGTAGCTTAGCATCTCTTCTATTGCCTTCCCTTAAAATGTCCTTTAGCATAGCAAAGCTTCTCAACCAGTCCTCTTAGCTTAGAAGGTAGTTACACAGCATACAATTTCATATATCTTCAGCAAAAAACGTCTAAAGAAATCAGCCTGTCCTGGGGCCTCTCTTAGGAGCTGGGAATAGCAAACTTTTGGTCAAAGGTTCAGCATACTTTCCTTTGGCTACAGGTGCAAGCATGGGCTCAGCAGCAGGGAGAACGACTCCGAAGCGGCTTGTCAGCGCTGGAGGCCGAGCGGGAGGAGGTGCAGCGGCTGCTTGACTGGATCTCCTCGGCTGAGGAGTCACTGGCCCTGAGGGACCAGGAGGGGCTTCCAGAAAGCATGGAGAGCACCGAGGAGCTGATAGCTCAGCATGAGGTAGGAGTCCCCCGGGAATTAGAGAAGACGATGAAGGGGAATGCTTTTGTCACCCCGTGTGCTGAATCTCAGGAACCCTGAATCTACCCATCTCTCAGCATGACTGATTTTGGTGACCTTAGATTGCATGAATGGATTTTGGCATTAAGGGTATTTTCATTGCCTATTACTGTCTTATTAGAAATGAGGTCATAACTCCAGACATCACTGTGACAAATATAAAGCAGAAGCCAGCAATGTGAAGCAGTTCGATTCATTGTGTACTTGTGTCTTTAACATTATTCATTCAGTTCAACTGTACCAAAGGGCATCAAGTTAATTCAATAAGTCTTTTTTTTGTCCTTCCTAGGTCTTCATGGATGAGCTGAATGGAAAGGTTCCTGAGGTTGAGAGTGCCATAAAGTCATGCAAAATGAAGATGGTGCCCAAACAGCTCATGTCCCCGAGCCGTAAAACCCCCACAAGTTAGTCAGCTGCACCCTTTATCGTTTCCTTAAATACGCATTCGCATAACCACCTCGATTTTACTTATATTATTACCTATATTATCATCATATATCCAGGGGTGACAAATTTGTAAGACATGCCAAGAGAAGTAGCTCACAACTGAAAGGTGAGTATGGGCAGCATGTCTGACACTGATTGGCCATTTGATTTCAGAGAGGAAGGGCTCCCAGAAGCTTCAGCCGCCAACAACTTTGCCCTTGGAGAACCTGGAACCTCAGAATCCCAAGCTGTGCCAGCTGGTCAGCCACTGGAAGCAGCTGTGGCTCGTGGCGTTGGCCCGACAAAGCCGACTTCTGGAGCACCAGCAAAAGCTGCGAGAGGTGACCTTTTCTCAGTGCCAATATGCAGTCTCTCTCCAGTAAGCCATTTACTGTTGGTCAGTTCATTAATGATAATGCACTGGTACAAATTAACAGATCCTACAACTGCCGAATTTTCAGGGCTAAGATATTTCAGCTGTTTGTTTCAGCCCCATCTCATTATTTAGGACGTTGTTGCGTCGCGGGGAGTAGACATCAAGACGCCGCATGTAGGAGGTGTGACAGTCGCTGGTCCCTTTTGTACTGTCACCTCAGTGTCATCATCATGTGTCTGTCATGCCTGCTCGTCCGATCCTCCCGTGTGCCACGCCCCCCCTCATTTACCTCGTGTGGAGTCCCCATGTTTTCAGCTGTGTCTAGTTTTTGTCAATTAGTCCTGTATATTTAAGTCCGCGTTCGAGTATGTTTCCCCGTCCAGTCATTAACATTGTGTGACCTTGGTGCATGCGCTTTCTGTCCTGTTTCCCAAATAAACCCCCGTTCACCCGAATTCACGGCGTCTGTGCTGCTTCCTTGGACGCCAGCCGTAACAGTTCCATAGCTACGACTGATAAGAGGAGCGTCACTGGATGCTATTTCAGTAATACTATGACCGCCATCAACCTCTGCCCTCTTTTACATCTCTAGCCTTACATTTTAGGTAAAACTGAACGAGTATTTAATAAACGAAAAATTATCTATATGGAACATATTAGTCTGGTCTATTGCAGCATCAAGTAACACAGATATGTTCAACTTGTTTAAATTCAGTTTTCATGCTCTTGCTCCTCTTTACCTTAGTGATATGATTGTTTGATATTATCATTAGACAGCAATATTCTGGTCATTCCTTTAACCCAATACTAGATTTTTTTCCAGACCTGGTCCTTGTGGACGCCTGGACAGTCCACATTTTTGCTTCCTTCCAGCTCCCTGTGAGACATTTTTGGTCGAAGCAAATTCGTGAACTGTCTGGGAAACAGTGCTGTAGGGAATCAGCTTTATGTTTCTATGGGCCCAAACTGTGGAATTCCCTCCCAGATTGCATGACAGCTGTAGATTCACTGGCAACTTTTTTATACAGTATTTGTTTAATTTTTCGATTTTATTTATTCATTATTCATTCATTCATTAAATTTTTTATCTTTTATTTTCCCTGTAAAAAAGGCAAAATAACAAATAAATATTTATTTTATTTTTTTTTATTAATAGTAAACTATTCAGTAAATTCTTTATCTGTCTTTCCTTGATAGTGCTTTCTGTTTCTTCCCCATCGGTTGTGTTTCTGGACAGATGGAAGCCTTCGCCAGCTTTGACTTCGAGGTCTGGAGGAAGCGGTACACTCAGTGGATCAGCCACCTGAAGTCCCGCATCCTGGACGTCTTCCGGGGCATCGACAAGGACCAGGATGGCCGTATCACTCAGAAGGCCTTCATTAACAGTGTGCTTGCCTCCAGTGAGCTCCTGCCGACCCAAAACATCCACTATTCATCTCACCAGCATATTCTCTAGTCATCCCAACCATATATTTACTAGTCATTTGACATATTTTTTTACCAAACCTTTAGCTAGCACATCAGCAGTCCTCCGTAATACGTATGCAGCATTTCTTAAAATGGCCAGCTTCTCCTGCTTTTCAGAATTCCCCACAAACTCTCTTGAGATGGCAGCAGTTGCTAACATCTTCGACATCAATGGAGATGGCTACATTGATTACTACGAGTTCGTAAGCACGCTCCACCCCAGCAGAGACCCATACCGAAGGACGCTGGATGCAGACCAGATCAATGAAGAGGTGAATTTGTAGACTGCATGTAACTCAGACTGTTGCCATAAGACCTACATTTATTGCCCACTGAACCAGTATATAAGCCAGTCATTGTGCAAACGTGTTGCCATCACCCACCTATTGAACATCACCCAGTCATCCATGACCATTCAGACATATCAACCAGACATTTAGCTAATGCATTTAGTGTGGAAGATAGTTCTTTTGGCATATTAGTTTACATTTTCTATGTTATTTGGCATAATTGTTGCTCTAGGAAATTCCAGCTCCATTTATTTTAATGCTAAACGCTCCAGAGAAAGGTGTTGATCGAGAGTGACTTCAGAGGCATGCGTTTGGGTCTGGCACTATGCTTTACGGTTAGTGACTGTCCCTTTGTCGTCCCCCAGGTGAGTCGGCAGGTGTCCCAGTGTAACTGCCCCAAGAGGTTCCAGGTGGAGCAGATCAGCGCCAATCGTTACCGGGTATGTGAGCACTCAGGCATTGAATTCTTGCATGCATAGAATTCTAGAATGAACTGAATGCAGCTGATCCAGTCAAACTATAGTCTGACTACAGACCTGAGGGATTCAGCTTGTGATTTGGGGGGGGGGGGGGTTGACACACTGCTTAGCTCTTTCTTGTGGCTGCAGTTTGGGGACTCGCAGCAGTTGAGGATGGTCCGGATTCTGCGAAGCACCCTGATGGTGCGAGTCGGTGGAGGCTGGACCGCACTGGATGAGTTCCTGGTTAAGAATGATCCTTGTAGAGGTAAGTGGTACAACCTTGAGACGGAATATTTTGCAGAGTGTTCAGCATGCAAAGGTTTTAGCTTTATGTTTTGGGGGGTTTAGTTTTTTTTGACTGCCTTTCTTTAAGGAGCCTTGTCTACATTATTTATTGACATTTAATGTAACGAATCCTTTCCTTTATTCATTTCCATTTTTCCTACCCTGCGGCATTTCTCAGCCCTGTAACCTATCAAATATGGACAGAATGATGCTTCATGAACCATTTGCTGTATTTTTTCACTCCACTAGATGGTGCTCTCTGTTCACAAGGTCACAAAGCATGTCACAAATTCAAGAGCACCACCATGGGGTAAAAAAATACAGCAAACGAATCATGAAGCATCATTTTGTCCATCACTTCTATCAACCATACTGTCTTCCCTCCTACCCTTTAGTGAAAGGGAGAACCAACCTGAAGATAAAGGAGAAATACCTCACCTCTAGCTCGTTCAGCACGTCCCGCAAGGGCAACAGCACGTCCAAGCCTCTGGGCGTCAGCCGCTCCAATTCCAGCCTGAGCCTGTACAGCACGGCCTCAGCACCCAGCAGCCCCCTCACACGCAAGGTATGCTACACGCAGCCAATCAGGAGCAAGGTATTCTCCCCTCTCCTTAAGCAAAGTGCCATCCCCAAACATAATGAGCCAATCAGGAGCCCTTTATACCTCCCCACGCCATACAACCAGCCAGCAGTGATTGGTGACTGTAAAATTGCACGATACATGGATCTCACATTATTTTATGCCTCAGTCAAGCTACTTTTTGCAATATATTTATTAACGATTTATTTATTCTGTAGCGGTTATGATGAAAGAAACACAGATTTGCCATCACTATATGACCTTGATCTGACTTTTGCTTTTCTTGTTAAACAGTAGGAGCAGGAATGTTATAAACCCATATAAACACACATATATATGACCCATACGTAGGGATTGAACCCCTGAGTGTAAACCCTCTGTCCCTGCAGTCTGTCCTGCGGAGGAGCCTCTCAGGAGATCGCTGCAGCAGACCCAGAAGCTCCATCGCGGCCCTGGGACCTGAGCTGCAGTTTGCTTCCCCGGGGGACGATGGATCCCCATCGCCACCTGTTGGCAGTGGTGAGACTGCAGACATGGACCCTATGGCCTCGCAGTGTGCCAGTAAACAGCCAGGGGCAGGAATTTAGCTAGAGAGTGAAGGAAAAGCAGCCAATGAGAGCTCAGCATATGTGGGAGCTCCTTCAGGACGGCTGGAAAAGCATCCCAGGGGGCCACCTCATGGAACCGGGATAGAGGGGACAGTGGGGGCAGCCAGTCCATGGGGCGATTGGGGTTAAGGGCCTTAATCAAGGGCCTAATGGTGGGATCACTCTGTCGGCCGCGGGATTTGAACTGGCAGCCTTCTGAGTTCCCCCTCATCTCCAAGAATTACATTTTGTTGTTTAGTACGTTTTTTGGTCAGTGCATAATTCCATATATGTTATATATAGTTTGATGTCTTTATAATTATTGTAAAATATAATCCTTTTAACGGGTGGGTGTGTTCAAACTTTTGACTGGTGCTGTATGTCATCTGTACCTAAAGCCTTGTGTAATCCTCAGCAGTCCCAGTGAGAATATTCTTACATTAAATCCTCTGCCAAACAATTAAACTCTATAATAATACTCATAATGATACATAGGTCTGATCAGTCAGACTGTCTGTGCGTTGATGGAGGATTGCTTTCTGCTGGACCCACAGACGAAGCAGAGAGGCCCCCTACATGAGACCCACACTCAACCCCTTCCCGAGACCCTGGAGACCAGACCGGAGGCAGCATACAGAGCTCTGCGGAGCTCCAGGCCACGACGCCAGACCAGCTCACCTGGAAGTCCTTGTACAGACTGACGGCAGCCAGGACAAACGCAGGCCCCCATGGAGAAGCCCCCTGGAAGGGGGGAGGGAACAGCTGTTTGTGGGGGTGGGCTAGAGGGGGTGGTCTGCTACACCTCTTCTGTAACCTTGGTCCGACAGTCAGTCTGGTCTGATGCCTGTGCTCTGATACACTGAACCTCTTTCCTGTCAGGAACTTGTTTTAGTTCTTCACACATTGAGTAGCCCTTGCTGGGTAACCTAAACAGAAATGGACAGATTCAGTGATATGTGTAGCATGGACAACGATGGCATGATGTGTCTGAGCTAGAGAATGTAAGCTTTATATCTATGTATGTGTGTATGTGTTCTTGCGTTTAACGTGATGCGAGAAGGCGTGGTGCATTCTGGGAAAGCATCAGAACGTGTGAACACGGTTTAGACATTCTTGACTTCTTTTCGTCCATTTTTGAATCCATCCTCGATCGTCTTATCCTTCAGGCTGGAGTTTTTGCATCCAAAGTCCACCATCCTGTGATCAGTATCCTTCTGTTGATGCATGGAGTTCCCTTATTGCCTCTTGACATGTATATGTCTGTTTGCATTTCCACCTGAAATTATCAGCATATTTATGTTAAACCATCCAAGCATGAGACAATGTCAACAGATTTTTAAACACATTTTGACTCGATGCAGCCACATCTGATAGGCCTGTAACATTTTAGGATACTCACCTCAAGATCTCATAAATAGTGATGTTCAGGAATGCTTATGGGCAACACTACTCCATGAAAGATGAATAAAGACCATTTTAAGGGTTTTTTTTATTATCTGAGGGAAAATAAACAAGCAAGCATCCTTCTCTCAAAATTTTTCTGGTGCTCAAGGAATAATAACAGTATAAATATTCCTCATTGAAATTCAAATGTAATATGAGGTCCTTCAGAGATGAATGTTTGAGCTGAAAGACCAATTTCATGGTTTGGCTTATTAAGAAAATAACCATGCCAGTGAGAGAACAGGAATATAAAGAAATATTGTTTTCCTTGCTAATGCTACAGCATTCAGTCTGAGATCACATAATAAAACAGAACACTTCCCATTTCAATAAAAATATGCCAAGTTTTCAAAGGTCTTTAAAGGGCTATAATCTACATAATACAGTTTTGATGGCATTTAAGAAATCCAGCTCGGTGTATTCTCTGTTTCCTCGAATGCCATTTGGCCTGAATGATGCTCCTGTCAGAAACTGAGCATCTTGCTGCTTCCAGAAGGAAGTACGGGGCACCTGGCAACCATTTCTATGATTTGTTTACCCATAATCCTCTATTCCTGCTACTGCTAAGGCAGCACTAGCTAATGTAGAGCTCAGTTCTGACTCTAACCTAGTGTAAATGTAGAGGAATGTAACTAATTCATATATGAACATCAGTGTAAAATAAATCCTTTTGTAATAAAATGTAATAAAAAAATCTTGTGTGTGTTTGATAGCTATGGAGTGAAAAGTTGTTTGACAGATGCTTTTTGTTCTTCATCGCACATTTTCATTGGGATCTATTTACAGCAGCCGTACGGAGTTTTGGAGCAAGTGTGGATATCGGCTAATCTTATTTATAGCTAATTATGTATAACATGTATAATGTGGTTTCTTGTCTGTCATTTCACCTGGTTGTGGAAATTTCATTATGCTCCGGCAGATTGTTCATCAGCTTCACGAAAAGCCCAGCGACCTGCCGTCGCCTAAAGAGCTCAGCACAAAGTAGCGGATCAGAGGCAGCTCCGGAAAATTCCTCCTGAACTTTACAGTGTGATTCCTGCTGACCTTCCAGCTGCCTTCAAACAAGTTTTTTTTTTAGTGCTCGGAATCTTTACTCACCTTCCACTTACATACTAAACAATACCAGTAGCGTATTAGTAGCTTTAGCGGTAAGTTTACTGATCCGTAATAGCGAACGATTCCTCTGTGTAATATTTCTGATAGTTTGAAGTGGTAGTTACATTTAGCCACTCACTAGTTGGGAGGCTTTGGCGGGGGGGGGGGGGGGGGGTTGGGGGTGTGATCACTCTTATGATCACTATATTTTCTGAAGAGCGAGTGCATGGACTCTCTGTGGAGATCTGTGCCCCTCGCGGGCAGAATACTTCAGAGATCCCTTCACACAAACACAGGTTTTGTTGGGAAGAAGAAAAAAAAAACAAAGAACTGAAAAAAATGTTCTGTGTGGGAAGAGGAGGGCGGATGGTTGGGGCACCGGCAGGCAGGCCGGGCATGGAGCGGGTCCTGTGACCGCAAATTACCACGGTCTGGTCATGCAGAAGCCTGATGATGACCTTAAGCCTGGAGTTTAACTGTTCAGCTGATATCCTGAAAGATTTACTCGCAGTTACCAAAAATTCACTGGCTCTGTGTGGCTCGCAGTGCAAGCAGCCTAAAAAGATCTGAGAGATATACATGCAAAGATTCATGGGAAATGTCTGCCATTTGCAAAGAGTACAAGCCAAGCTATCTATCTATCCATCCATTTTCTATAGCTGCTTATCCTGTTCAGGGTTGGGGGGGAGGGGGGTCCAGGGCCTATGGGCACAAGGCAGGGCACACTGACAGCTCAGGAACTTCAATTAGCCTCAGCATGTTTTTGGGCTGTGGGGGGCAAACCGGAGTCCCCATAGGAAACCCCACGACGACACGGGGAGAACATGCAGACTCACGTGGAACAGAGACTCAAACCTGAGTCCCAGGGCTGTGATGCAAGAGTTTCCACAGCTGACCACTGCCCCACCATGCCTCCCCACAAGCCAAGCGAATAAACAAATGAACATCAGAGAGGCCCAGCGGGTGGCACTGTCTTGTCCTGGGTTCTGGATTTGGTTCTGGGACCAGCTCACAAGAGTTTACATGTTTTCTGCATGACCTCATGGGTTTCTTCTGCATCTGGGATTCCTCCTGACTTGATGACCCCGATTTGCCTTTAGAGTTTAACTCATGAGGGATAAGTAGGGCTGCTCTGGTTCCCCTTAAGTCACCCTGACCTCTGAAAATTACCAACTGCTGACATTGAATATCGTATCCAGGTTTAATACAAGTTTAATAATCACAATATTTTTTTAACCTGGGGCCTGTGAGCAAGAGGGTTTAAATCCCCACAACAGAAGGAACAGCAGCATGTGCTGAGAAAGAAAGATAACCAGCAAAGGTACAGTTTGTTATAATGTTACGAAGCAGATAAATGTCATTGGCTGTCACTGCGTGAGTTGTGATGTGATTGGCTGGTTGCTCTGTCTGAGCAAATGCCAAGGACACCAGCTCTCTTCTGTTTTGACTCCAGTGTCACATGGTCCTTCATATCCTTGTCACCAGGTCTTCAGACACAACATTCTTAATTTGGGGTGAAGATCATTTTGAAGCACAAATGAACTATAAATTATATACTTCTTTTGTCTCCTACATTTAAAAGATGATTTTCAGACAAATAGCTCTTTTAAAAATGAGCTTACACTCCTGTGTTGGCCTAACTACCAGGGATATTATTACAAGATATCATTTCCATAATGCAGGGCAAAATAGTTTCACAATGCCTATTGTGTTCATGTCTGAAGTTACAGACGTCTGTTCAAATACCAATTGTTCATCTAACAAGCCAAGCAAAATAAACTATGCACTGAATCACAACAAATGTGTATCAAGAAAGGATGGCTTTCAAGCCGGTGCATTTGAGGGCTTATTCTGATCTCAGTTCACGTGAAAGCCGTTCCCTTCTGACCAGGGGCTCACACGCCACTGAGCCAGACGGATCTCTCCTAACCAATGAGATGCCTCGATTCTCAAGCACGAAAAATGGGCCCCCGGAGGCTCTCCGGTCATTCTACAAACCCTCATGGACAGCTGGAACCAGCCCGTCTTGCAGTGGAACCACAAAAGCATCACGAGGTCTCCACATCTACCTGGCCCAAGACCCGTAAAATTGCAGGGTGGCCGTCCCTTCGCCAGCCGTCCTGGAGCATGTGAGTACCCTGGCTGGGGACACACGTGTCCCTGCCGTTCTACAGGAGAAGACCTTAAACTTACGCTCTAAGAAAAGAGCCAGATTCCAATGGTTTTTCTGCAGTTCTATTTTTATACTGAAATTCTGTCTTATAGTTATATCTTTTAGTTACCATCTCAATATGAATTGCGTTCAGATTAATAGAATACATGTCAGCAACAGAAATATTAATCTGAACCTTATAATCAAAAGGTTGTATGTTGACCATTAAGAATAAATTAGCAGCGATAAAAGTCATTTTAGCTGGGAAAATATTACAGAGAGAATGAGTCAGTGTATTATTATGGGTTTTCTCATGAACATTAGCTGGAGCTCTCATTTCCCAGCTATAGGTTTTGTGTGTTGTGTGTCTTATTATGGTCTATGACTGCATTGTGGTTTCTGTAATGTTAGGCTATATGACCACTGAACAGAGGTTACGATATGATATACTGCCGCGTACTGATGGGGAGACCTTCAGATGCACTTCTGCATCTGCAGTTTTTTCGGTCCTTTCCAGCAGTAACTGTTAGAATTGTATTTACTGATTTTTTTCTGTGTTTGTATTTCTCTGTTCGCTTGTTTCCTCCGACTACCTTTCAGGCTGATTCTGTGGGCTGGCTTTGTTAGAAGGCTTATCTGGATCTGATCACAGCTCTGCCCTGTGGCGTGTGCCTCCTGAGTTTCCCGTTCACGTGAATGATTTGTATATCAGCCACGACGGCTTCCAGATTGTTCACTGGCATGTTCAAGAATTTTGGTGACTCTAACCGCAGGTAAAAACTCATTTTGAAGGTGTTCATAACAAAGTAACTGTTTTTATTAGGTCATAGCACAAAATAGTGCTATAATATTATGATCAAGAAAAAGCACAAGAAAAAGAATAACTCAGAGAAAGTATTTTATGCTTTGGAAAACGTTTGTGGCACTTCTGCGGAATGAGCATGTTTTTCATGTTGGTATATAGTTCCCCCTAGTGGAAGTTACATGAAATACGCACACAATTACCCTACACCTCAAAATAAACAGTAGTTATGATGCCTGAACGACAGTGCCCGTAAATTTTGCGGGCTTGCGGGCTTTTTTCCGCGATCGTAGTAATTGATAAGAGACACTTAGAATCTGAAAACGGGGGCAAATGGCGGAGATACTCGAGCACCCCCCCAGACCATCCCCCCTACCTGTGCCTGTCGATGAAAACATGTAGTATAATTAAATTAGTCTTTCACACTCACCATCACTAACAACTGAGTCTGACACATAGCCTTTCCCGCAATCTTCTTCCTCTGATTAAACCAGAAAGCAGATTCATTTTTGCATTGACGACCTAACCATGACATTGAGAATGTATGTGTTTCAGGAACCTTCACATCTGGCTTGTGCAACATTCAGTGAATCAGCTGCAATGATCATTTAAAGCGAAAGTCAAGCAACCTGAATGAGGGTTTTAATGAGGGTTTTAACCCAAAACCTCCAAGGTCTGCTGCCCTGGTCTGGATTTCGATTTAACACAATTAAGTGTTTTGAATTTGATATTAGAACAGCGAGGGCCTGAATTCTACAAGCCAGTTTATTTTGGGGCATTTGAGATGAACGTTGCATATGTAATAATCATTGAAATGTTTTTGTGCTACTAAATCAGACATAATTAACAGATGCAGCCACAACTGTGCATGAAAAAAACATACTATTGTTCTAATATTGCTAATACTATTTCTCTAAGCAGAATTGAACTTTTAAAATAGGCAAGTTTTATTCTCAACCAGTTTGAGTAATGTTGTGCGAATCTGGAGTTTTGAAATAATGTAATGCACAGGAAGGCTGATTTTTCACAGTGCAAAGCGCAGTGACTCAGCAATGTATAAATCCAGTGTGGCAAAGAAATGCTTGGCCTGTACAGTGAATTCCAACTTTAAAACTGGAAATACAGGTTCCATCCTTAAATATTTCATGCATGTGTGTGGGGGCGAGGATGGGTGGAAGGAGAGGATGTGGTTTTCATACTCCTAAAATGATAAGAACAGTGTCACTCTTATAGCAAGTGTCTGATTCCTGTTCACCAGTAACCTCAAGGTCAGCAAGGAAGGGGGAGGGCTCAGTGGGAGGAGCTTGTAGTGGAAGTACATGGTTGCTGTGGTTATGTCAGAGCCTGGCTCAGCCAATCAGAGCAGCTGGGGGAGGAAGAGCGTGCCCCTCTCTCTACTCAGGTGCAGTGTGGGCAGAGATGAGTAGGCTGGCAGGAAGCTGATGTAACAGTGAGCTCGATGGAGGAGAGCAGGCTGACGTTAGCAGAGCCCCGCTAAACAGCATGGTATGTTCTGGAGTACTGGGTCCGGCTGGATCAGGGACTGTGAATGGATGTCTGTATGTCTGTGTGTGTCTGCGAAAGAGGCCCAGAGTTTTTGGATGTTCTCATAGGAGCCTGTGCTTCATGAACTCTGTACTGCTCACAGTGTCTTACAGTTCTTCACTTTTTAACGCAGTGTTTAAATTGTGTTAACACTGATCAATGGGCCCCTTCAAACTCTCAGCTGTTGCTTATAATTTATTCTGTTTCATGTGGTCAGTCTGTCATTAAGGATTAAATTGTCTGTTTATGTCGGTCTAACTACTCAGTGAATATGTTGATGTCACACATTTCTACACTGTAATGTAATTCAACTGCCATGTCTGTGTGTCTGTGTGTATAAACTGTATATATATATATATATATTATTTTTTTTTCTTTCTTCCTAGTATAAAGTACACATCATGAGGAAATCATTTTCAGATTTTGACTGATTCGCTGCTTTATTCCTGTTTGTCTTGCCCTGTGGGGAAACCTCCAGTTTGTGATACTCGGTCTGCACAAATGTGCCATATTCACTACGGTGTGATAGATCGATCGGAGGTTCGAGGGGTGACCCTTCTGGTGACCCTGCAGGTTCAGAAAGGTCAAAGCCAAGCTCCTCCTTGTCTCATGGACCTCGGACTGGGTGCTGAAGAGCACCGATTAGCTGTTATAAGTGGAACATAACTGTAACGTTATAACGTGTAACGTGCTGTTTCAGGTGACAATTTTTTGTGACATAAAGTGACACACTTGATAGCTTCTCCTGTCCCTGCACTATAAATGGCATAAACCAGCCCAGAGCTGGGTTCAGATATGTCACATGACGCATGCTACACATCTATATTCATTTACTAAAACATGGATATTTCATGGTAGGTTGCATTGCCTTTGTCAGTTATTTTAAGTTAGTAATAAGTTTTATAACCATTAGGAAACAGTTCACAGAGGTGGATAGTTCAGGTCGAGAAAGTAAAAATCCAGGCCAAGATTTTGTTTCATCCAACCATTTGAGTGTAGTTACAGTCACAGAGCATTCAACTGGTTAGTTGAAACCATGTCTTGGACTGGATTTTTACTTTCTCGACCTGAACTATCCACCTCTGACAGTTTGTATCCAGTTTCTCATCTCATTGTATCCAGTTCATTTACTATGTGGTACAACAGCAATGCCTCTTTAAGGACAGTCCCACTCTCCTTTGCATTCGTTTTTTTACCTAGTGCTCTTGTCCAAAGCGACACAGTAGTGAGGAAGGTTTGGGATCCAAGTCCAGGGTCATTCAGCATCTCTGGAGCAGTTGGGTTAAGGTTCTTGATCATGCGCCCAGCTGTGATATGATCCCCCTGGTTGTCGTGGCATTTGAACCTATGACCTTCCAGACACATGTACATTTCCAGCGGCGGATAGTTCAGGTCCAGGAAGTAAAAATCCAGACCAAGATTTTGTTTCAACCAACCATTTGAGTCTAAAGAGTCACAGTCACAGAGTACTGATCTGGTTGGTTCAAACTAAATCTTGGTCAGGATTTTTATTTTCTGGACCTGAACTATCCACTTCTATGCATAACAGTAACTTTCTGAGGTACATACCTAGCCTGACTCCCCTCCTTAAACAGTAGGAGGTGTGTGCCGGTGTGTGCCCCTCCCCCTGCCAGTTAGGAAGATGGATGCAGAAATGTACAATGCTCACTTTTTCTGTGCTCCTTTTCCTCGTTTCAGATCTTCCTCTCACCTCGCCACTGGCCCTGTTCACCATGTCGTTTCGGACACACGTGCTCGCTTGCATGTTCGGTATGGGCTCCTGGGTGGCTATCAATGGCATGTGGGTGGAGCTTCCTCTCATCGTGCCCCAGATCCCAGAGAGTTGGCACCTGCCCTCTTACCTGACTGTCCTCATCCAGGCAGCCAACGTGGGCCCCCTGCTGGTCACGCTGCTGCACTACTTCCGGCCGGGCGTCGTGAATGAGGGGGCGGTCATCTACGGCATCGCGGCCGTGGGCTGCCTGGCCTGCCTCCTGCTGGCATTCCTGTGGCACCACACGGTGGAGGTGGCGGGCGCCCGTCACAGCGTGCCCCTGCTGTCGCTCACCTTCTTCCTGTCCGTGGTGGACTGCACCTCCTCCGTCACATTCCTACCCTTCATGATGCGCCTTCAACCTCAGTACCTCACCACGTACTTCATCGGGGAGGGGCTGAGTGGACTTGTGCCGGCATTGGCTGCGCTGGTCCAGGGTGTGGGTGTGGTTCACTGTCACAACGCTACCCAGAAGGACAACGGGACTCGGGTCAATGCCTCGGAAACAGGCCAACAGCTGGAGGCCCACTACCAGCCTGCCAATTTCTCCACCCAAACCTTCTTCATCTTCCTCACCGCCATGATGGTGGCATGCATGTGCGCCTTCCATCTTCTGAACCGTCACCCATCTGTAAGGCAGGAGCACATGGGCAACGGATACCTGGCAGGACAGAAGGAGGAGCCGGGACTCAGACTGCAAAGCCCACTGGAACCAAAGCCCATGGTCACACCAGTGAACTGCCACCAGGGGGAGCAGAGGAGCACCTTTGGCTCTGGCACATACAGCACGACGGAGGTGCTGTTCATCTTTGTGGTCCTGGCGTGGGTGAATGCACTCACCAACACCGTCCTGCCCTCTGTCCAGACATACTCTTGCCTCCCCTACGGCAACAAGGCCTATCATCTCGCGGCTGCCATGGGTGCATTAGCTAATCCTTTAGCTTGCTTCATTGCCATGTTTGTGCCCGTAAGGTTAGTACACTCATTCTCTTGTTCTTATATGACAAAAGTATTAACTAGCTAGACAATACTAACAAATAGTTATACACGTTGGTGGTAGGTTACTGAATACACAGAATCCCCCATAAAATTTAGCTGGTGTCACTGTTACTATCTCAACCACAAAACCCAAATTTAGTAGCGCAGTTAGGAATGTGTGTTGCTCTGTGGATTCACAGTCATGTGGTATGAAGAGCGATTACCCACACATTGAAACTGAGGCAGTATGTTCATTAAATGCGATGATTTGCCACAAATTACTGCCAGATTTCCACTTGGCGGCCATGTGTCGACACTTTTGTACAGAAGATGATTAAATGATTGTAGGAACATGGTGCTGATGCTTGGTGACCAGCTGCCCTTCTCCTTCCCCAGGTCACTGAAGCTGATGGGGTTTCTCAGCCTGTCTGGCACGGGCTTCGGGGCTTACATAATGTTCGTAGCGGCGATGAGTCCCTGTCCACTTCTGGTCCACAGCGGCTCAGGAACGGTCCTCATTGTGAGTGTCTCCTCATCACAGGAAAATTTGCACAGTTAATTTAGACAATAGGTGTCTCATGCCATTTTGGAAAAAGGGAAATACATGAATCGGTTGAAGTAAATCCTTGTAGCAAGTATGTCTAAAGAGTTTAACAGCAGTATACACAAGGGCAAACATAAAAAGTATTTTTTTAACTCTGTTTCCTTTGTTGCTTATATCCTATTTTCGAAACAGGTTGCAGCCTGGATTCTCTTTGTATTAACACTATCCTATGTGAAAGTGACCATTGGGGTAATCCTGCGAGATGAAGGACATAGCGCCCTCGTGTGGTGTGGAGCAGTAGTGCAACTGGGATCTATGCTTGGAGCCTTAACAATGTTTCCCCTTGTTAGTGTGCACAGTCTCTTTACATCAGGAGACCCTTGTAACACTAGATGTCCACTCTAGAGATGCAACCAACTTGTCTTGGTTATTATTATTAGTTATTATAAGTTATGGGTGGATGTTTCCAAGGACAAAGTTTGTTTCTATATCTCTGTAGGTTCAAATGGTTGTACCCTGTTTAGGGTCATGGGGGGCCTGGAGCCTATCCTAGTCAGCATTGGGCACAAAGCAGGCGTATACCCTGGTTAGGGTATCATGTACCTTTATATAACACATGCATATCTTACCAAAATTCTGGCACCCTCTTCTGATTGTAAGTCAATGGGTATGAATTAGTGACGGCCAAATGAAGACTCATGAACCATTCGTTATATTTCTTGACTCCACTAGATGGTGCTCTTGGTTTGCTTTTGGGCATGCTTTGAGCCCTTTTGTTGAACAGACAGCACCGTCCAGTAGGATCAGAAAATACAGCAAGTGATCAAAAAATATAACAAATGGTTCATGAGTCTTCATTTGGCCATCACTAGTGCGAGTGATATTTCATTTTGCTCTAGCCTGAAATGACGCTGCAGGGCCCCATCATCAGGCCAACAGACTGTCTCTGGGATGAGCTGAGGCACAGAAACCGAAGACTGATCCTTCATAGGTGAGCGTCAGGTGAGCACAAAAGCTTCTCCAGATGCCATGAAGCCACTATGAAGACCGAAGGTGGGCTGAATAGCCATGTCTCAGGGCTGTTGGTGCAGTTGCGCCCATAGGACTTGTCTCATATATACAGCCTTTTATATGGACTGTCAGTAAGGAGGCAGTTAGCCTCATTTAGCTAATTGTATGAAACAATGTGGTGAAATTACATTTCAACTGCCTCAGTTACTGTGCTGAAAATAGAGTCATGCCTCTGTAATGCAATAATGGCTGACAGGTACCAAAAAAGACGACGGGCACGATAGCAAAGGGGACAAATGATGATGTAGTAGCGCCCCACCGTGTACGATATCCGTCACTGCAGCACTCAACCAACAAATGGGATTACTGTACTTTTTTTGCATGATTTGTAAAGTGAAATTCAGAGTTTGTCTAATACACAAAGGGAGAGGTCCTCTGGAAAGCCATCGGTCATGTGATGTTTGTGTGACACGTCGAAAATGCACGGTGACACTTTTGCATGGCGGTGTGACTTTCCTTTGCGGAGTGCTCTGTTCTCATTCCCTCAGAGGCGGCTTATCCTACGATTCCAACGACGGGTGAGAGTAACTCAGGATGGCAAATGCAAGCCTACTGTCTAAATATTGTGGAAAAAACGGAATAACGGCAAGACGCTTAGCGATGTCACTTATTCAACATGTTGTACTGTATCCAGATGAATCACAGAGCAGGTCGGCAAAGTTCGTTGTTTGTAAGGAGCTTTTATGGTCTTGATTAGCAATCTTTTATTTTGTGTACAGTTTCATATATTTCACTTGATAACGTACAACTGTTTTGTTTATTGTATAGGTCAATAAACATTTTTTACAAGTTCAAAAGGATGCACATTTCCCCCCAAATTAAGTAAATCACTCTTCATTTTGCTATTATCCCAAAATGTAACCACCAACAGATAATCAACAGATGTATCTTACAGAGTTTGCTGAATCAGCCTGGCTTTATTTAATTAATATTCCTATTTCCTGGTTTTTCATACTTGTTTTTGTTGTCTTGATAGAATTTTGGTTAATTAATAGCTGACCTTTGTACTGCTGATGGGTTCCTAATACAATGTTGTATTGTTAGTAAATCCACTAATTTCAGTTTGAATATTAGCCATACATGTTTAGCGGGAGTTTGTCTCTTCCAGAATTTATTAATTAAAATGAAGTTTTCGTAGAGATTTGATCCACTGCCACATGTGGCGTAACAAACATGCAGTGAAGGGCCTGGGGCTTGGTGCTGTGTGCTCAGTGAATTAGGCTTCTGCACTTGTGATCGGAAGGTTGCTGGCTCAGATCTCTGAGTTGGCAGCATGGTTTCACCAGTGGACCCCCAAGAAAGGCCCTTCACCCCCCCCCAATTGCTCCAGGGATGGGGTGACCCTGCTTCTTCGCAGAAATGAATGTTGCTTTGGATAAAAAGTGCCTGCAAAATAAATAAAATGTAAAATCCAAAGGAACACTGAAGCAACTCAATAAAATGAAAAAACAGAATTGTCTTCTGTGGTCATTCATGTAGCCTACATCAGGGACCATTTACCATTTAACAAAAGGGGCATTTTAATATGTTCTGCATTAAGCACTGTCTTCATACTGTTCTGCTCCAGGATGTCAAAGCCATTTAAAAAGTGTCACAATCATTGAAAAACTTGCTGTGAATGGAGTGGCAAAGCCCCCCCATATTATAGCTGAACCATGTGTCACAAATCAGTGTTTCTCTGCTCACATTTCGGTTCATGCTAAAATTTTCTTTCTGAATTTCAAATCTTAAAACATTAGAAAAATCAGTAGAAAGCAGGACTTCAAATGTAACCGAGTCAGAAGAGAAGAGTCATATCAGCAGCATCGCTCGCACATTTCCAGAGTTTGCCACTAGAGGTCAGTCAAAACCTTGAAAAGAAATGTTTACATTACCGTTGCAAGTTTTAAATCATGGAAGATTCAATATGACTGTTTAATTACTAGCAAATCATTATAATAGCTTTATGTATTAAATATGTTAGCTTATTTTCCAGCACATATAATCAGTATAAATAGATAATGAGCACTTAAGTGACAATCAATGAAGCTTCTGGACTGGATGATTCAATCAAATCAAAAGTTATTCAAACAGAGCTAAAACCTGCTTGGCTGTTTGGACTGAATATGTAACGAAACTTCTGTAACCTTCTAGAACAGTTCGTTCCATAATGGTACAGTATGTGGGCTACAGAAGACGACCGCATTTTCACTGAGCGCATCGGAAACGCTGGTGCAAGTCATTCGTTGGATATCTGCAGTTTTCAGTCGGTACAGCTGCGTGTTTGCCCCGCACCTGTACACGTCCCAGTGAGGAAAGATGGATTTGAGTCATCAACTCGTCCCCTGTGGGAATCCCACCTCCCCTGGGAAAAGCCCGGGTTCAAGGCGGCTCTGTTTCCAGTATGTGCACGGCCCCAGGCCTTAATAAACTGACCTTACTCATCTGTGCAGTGCATGCTGGTACCCAGCATGCTTTGCATGGCCTGCTGCGTCACCCAAAAAGCACATACATGATTTAATGAAAGCGATTTTGCTAACGCAAAAAAAAAATAGGCCTTACCGTCATGCCACCTGTTAGCATAGCATAGTACAGTGCAGTGCAGTATAGTATAGTACAGCACAGCACAGGACAATATAGTATAGTATAGTATAGTACAGCACAGTACAGTACATTATAGTATGGTATAGTATAGTACAGTATAGTACAGCATAGCATAGCATAGTACAGTGCAGTACAGTATAGTATAGTACAGCACAGCACAGGACAATATAGTATAGTATAGTATAGTACAGCACAGTACAGTACATTATAGTATGGTATAGTACAGTACAGTATAGTACAGACTCATCCAACTGTTTCACGTTAACATTAGTGACACAGGCATGATTATAGGAGACTGACCAATCAGCACACAGTGAGAACTTAAAGTGAAATCTGGGTCCTTTGAATTGAAATGGAAGTTTGCCAATCCTGTCCTAGCTCACAGTGTCCTCAGTGACATGGATTATCTGGTCACCTTACCCAAGAAGAATGAAAAGAAACTTCTGGAGGTCCAAGGTCAGCTGGCAGCCCAAGCCCCCTGGGAATGCTAACATTATAGAGAATAGAAAGTGCGGCTTCCTCGCTAAACACAAGGTGTACACTGTGGTCATGGGCAAAGCCAAAGTCCATCAAGGAGTCAGTTCTCCTCACTGGTCTGTGTGGGGTGGCAGATGGAAGTCTACACCTGCAATGTCACATTTCATAAGTGGCACCCACAATGTCATGCTTCCTTGGGACTCGGAACCCGTACAGATTTAGAGAAATACTGAGTAGTATAAACAATCTGAAGACAGTGAAAAGGTACAGCTGACTAGCCTTAGAGTACAGTGAACAGAGGTATTGGTGACTAGCCTTAGAGTACAGTGAACAGAGGTATTGGTGACTAGCCTTACAGTACAGTGAACAGAGGTA